AATATGTTATATCTCCAGGTCCTCCAGGGCAGGGGCTATTTTATTCTGGTGTTTTACAATTAATTAAATGAATTAAGTAATTAAGAGCTTAATAAATGCCCCATTTAGTACCAGCTGCACTGCTTTTGGACTTCTTAGGACATCTCCTTCCTGCCCTTGACTGGGTAGCTTCATTCTTTAGCCATTCTTTCTTCCCCCACCTCCTTTTTTCAGGTCCTTCTAAGTGCTATAAGATTATAAGCTCCTTGTGGGCAGGGACTGACTTAGTATTTGTATTTGCATCCCCAGAGCTTAGCCCAGTGCCCAGCACACAGTGGATGCTTAATCAGTGCTTATTAACTGACTAATTGAGCCTCACAACTCTGTGAGGTAGATAGCATAAGTATTCTGTCTCCATTTTGCAGATGAGGCAGAACTGAAGAGTTTAAAGGGATCACAGAGGCAGTGTAGTCCAACCTACGCCAAAAAAAAGGTCATGTTCCCACACACTCGATGAGTGGTCACCTGCCCTTCGCTTGTGGAGGAGCCTCATTCTAGGTTCAGACAGTGCTCATCACTAGGCACTTGTTTACAACTACCACTGCTCACGTTCATGTTCCTGTCCTCTGGGGCCAGAGAGAATGACAGCCATTTGTCCATCTTTTCAACCAGACACATATCACGTAGTTTTTCAAGGGCTGGGGACAAGCAAATGCTTGCTCTCTATCAGCCTTCATCCTCAGGATGAGGAAACGAGCCCACACCAATGTCACGCTTCCACAGGAGTAGAATCATGACAGACAAGCAATGAGAGCCTCGTCCTCAGTCCAGATTTGGGGCCCTTCCCACCAAACCCCACTCCTAGACAGTGCCTCCCATCAGCCCTGGTCTTCTCATCTTACCCTTTCATTAACTGCTGTGTTCTCTTCCAGCTGAACTGATCATCAGAAAGATGCCTGCTGCCCCAAAACGCTGATTAAAGAAAACAGACTCATCTCCTAGCTCATGGGCGTGGAAGTGAATTTGTGACGCTGCATTTAATAGCAGCTCAAATTCAGCTAAGCCCAATTATAATATCTCGCTATGATGAGAAATTAATTAAACATCTCCATGATAAAGACCCCAGGAGCAACCAGAGATTCTCCAGTAAACACACAGCCGGGGAGGGACGGAGAAGCAGGAGACAAAACGAGGGGGAAGAAAAAAAACATATTCAGCCCATCTGTTCTGACAGTAATGGGTCCTGGTAATCTTTTCAAGAGTACATGCAGTGCATTGTACTGGAAATGCAACTACCTGGCAGGCAAATTCATCCCGTTTCCTAATTCTGCTCTTCCACTTGGTGACTTGCTAATGGGAAACACATGTCTCCCTCCTGCACCCAGTTCCAACTGCCCTGGAATTCAGTGGCTGAGCCAGAATGAGGGGAGAACATGTCACCATTTAGAGCTTTCAGCAAAGTCCTTCAGTCGCAGCCGGCACCCTATTCCAGGGAAGGATATCAATTATAGATAGTGACTTGCTTTAGCAGCCTGGTCGGGACTGTCAGACACTAGATAGACAGCCATGGAGACTCATGAATCTTTCTATTAACTGTAAGAGATGGGGGAAGAGCACAGGTCGGGCTATAAATAAGGCCGAGTGGCATCAGAATGCTTTAACACCTCGACTCTCGGCTGTCTGTGTCGGGAAAATTCACCGAATCCAAGAAACTCTTCTTTCTTTGAAGAAAGTTCCGACAATCCAAGTAGTTTCTGGCTTCCCTGAATCCCTCTTTTAAAAAAGTCCCTTCTACACTTTATTTTTCCTAGGTGGATTAAGTGAATTCACATAAGTTATGTGCCACTCCTGTAGGAAATGTCACGGGGGACAGAAAATTAACCCACAGTGACCCCACATATCTGGCCTTCCAAATCCACTTTACTCAATATGAAGGAAATATCTCATAAACAAGAATGGGAGTTGAGACACTGGTAAGTTTCAGAAATTGCACCTCACTGAGGAAATGCAATTCTAGTGGAATTTCAGCTCTTTGGAGGAAGGGGCCATATGACTAGTCCTTGTATCCTGACACTGAAAGGCAGTATTTCAGAGTGGACAGAGAGTGGACATTGGAGTGATGAAGACGTGGCTTCATGTCATGGTGCTCTAAGCAGTTCTTTAAAATCATAAGATGCCAAGAAATTGGCAAGCAGCATTGGTGGAGAAAGCTTCCACACCAGGTGCTAGATATTCCATGCCAATGAATCATAGATTGGGAAGATCTCAAATACCAACCTCCAGGGCATGGTGCTTTGCACATAGTAGGCACTTAATTAACCCTTGTTGAATTAAATTGGGAGGAATTGGAACCTGTCTAGAACGGACCACAAAGGCTCCATTTTTTTTAACAGTTGGAGGAAATAGGGCTCCAGGTAATACAAAGGACTTGTTCAAGGTCATAACTGTCATATAACCCAGCCTTGTAGAGATGAGAAACTAGTCAGATTTGGGGCCGTGACTTTTCCAAGGTCACAGAGACAGAGGAGTAGAGCTCCGGACTTGTGAGCTCAGACCCAGAGCTCACTGCAGTGTAGAAAAAACCCTGGTTTCTCAGTCCCGGGACCTGGGTCCAGTTGCTGCCTCCGGCGATTAACAAAGTTTGGTTCTCTTGGATCAAAGCAAACACAAGATGTTTTCTTTAATGGAAAGATGACGCGCACAGTGGGCATTTTCATGATTTGACTCAGAGGCCATCAGATGAGAGCTGGAACATCTTCCTTCTGCTCATTTTCACTGGTCAGTGTTGAAGGGCCTTTGCAAAACCAGCCATGATGAGCCTTGGCCCTGCTTGCTCCTACAGATCCATCAGGCTCTCGGCCTCTCCAGTGCCCGAAGGGAAAGCATTAGTTCAAAGAAATCGCCTCTCCTGGCCTGCCTACTCACTCCTCCCTCCTCTGGCTCAGCCTATTTTAAAAAGTAGAGGCATCGTAAGAAAGGGGCCATGGACTTGGCATCAGAAAAAGGGTTCGAGATCCGGCCCCCAGTCCTGTGGGTGTCGTGACTTCTCCACAAAAGCTGACATTTGGCCCAGATACCTGTGCTCAAAGGTCCTGATAGGCTCCGGTATCAGAGGCCTGTGATTCTAAGCCCCAGGATGATTTCTCTGCTGGGGCCAATGGCTGCAACCACATGCTCATTGTGAACCAGTATGGTGCTGCACAAGATAAGCACAGTCGGAGCATCCCAACTGAAGGGATCCGAGGGACTGCCTCAAGGGAGGTGGGACGCTCAGCCCTCCCACTCTCTTGGAGGAAACGCCTTTCATGAGCCACCATGGCTGACATGTATCTCCACCCCTCAGATCCATGGTTATGGGAAACACTCATGATCTCCATCGGTGCAACAGCTTTCTGACCTTGGATTTAACTCAATTGAATATGCACTTATTAAACACCTACTATGTGCTGGTGCCGTGCTAGATATATAAAGACAGAAATGAAAATCTCCCCTGCTGTTGAGGGAAGGGAGATAACCCTAGCTCTCACTTCACCAGCTCTTTAAGTAGGTTGGCCAAGTGCTTGAATTCACTTTCTCCTTCTGGACCATGCCTAGCAGTCTACCACAAGTTCTGCAACTTCATTTCACAGCTGAGGAGGTGAAAGAGAGGTTCTGGAATAGAGAAGATGACAGGCCCTGACTTTGAAAAATCCAAAGTCCTTGCGTATGGGATGCACAGGCTGCCTCAGATGGTGCATACTGGCCCAGCACACATAGTAGGGCCCTCGATTGTACTCAGGACTCTGTACCTACTACACTAATGTTAGAAATGCACAGGATTTTTATGATTTAATAATTTTCTGAACATCCGGATTGGCTAAGAATGAAAACCAAAGGACACGTGCATGCCCCCGAGCATGCATTCCGGAGCCATGAGGAGGGAAGCTCAGGCTGGGCTTACAAAAATCGCCATCATTTTAAGAGCAGCTTAGAGCCGAGGCACTTGGGCGCTGGACTTTACACCAATCCCTGGCCCAGGCAACCTGCTGAGCTGCGAGAGCCTTTTCTTCCTGATTACCCCAATTGACAGGGAGCTCAATGACGCCAGTGGCATTTCTACTCTGCCCCGCCCCCACCCTCCCTCCAGCCCTGCTCTCCACTCTCCCAGAAGAGCAAAGAGCCAAATGTGGGAAAAGATACGAAAATCCTTGTGATGCTGGCTCCAAGAAAATCTCTTTGCTACCTTTTTCAGAAAGTGGAATGGCAAATTCACATCGCAGGGGAATGTGGCATCGTGGGAAATGGGTGAGCTTTGGAGTATGAAACCCTGGGTTCAAAGCCTGACCCCGTTATTAACTGCCTATGTGATCTCAGTTTCCTCATCTACAAAATGAGGGGTTTGGACTCATTGGCTTCAAAGGTCCTTTCCATCTCCAAACCTATGACTCTGGAACCATGGCATGAAATATCACGAAACACATCGTAGCTAATGTCTACCGAAAAATCCCTCTGAGTTTGTGCAGAACAGGAAATACACAATTCACTACAACAGAGCCTATGGGGGTCGTTCCTGCACAGTGAGGGTCTCCGAGGGTCCCTCGGGAGCCAGGCGGGGGTGGGGGTGGGGGACGGAGAAGAGAATGGCCAGAATCCCTGTCTCCCCTCCTCTATTGTGAGGAGCCTGGGGGGAGGGGGCGGAAATGCCGCGTGATTCAAAGGTTAATCATAATTCACGTCCAGCTTACTATCACTCAATAACCATCAAAGTCTGAAACTCCAAACAGTGTTGTCGGCCTTCCAGGATCAGAGCCATTACACTCTCTGTAGAAGGCTTTATTGAATTTCCCAGTAAGCTCTAGTTGACTGAACAGGTCAAGAACCATGGCTCGGAGTTTTCTTTCTTCTCAGAAACTCATAAAGCCCTCTCCGCCTTATGACGCTGCTGCCTCAGAGACTTGACTCAGCCCGGGGTCAGTGCTGCTGACCTCCCGGGAAGAGGCCATGCTGTTGGGAAGCCCCACTCTGGAATACCATTAACTTACATGCACGAGCTGCTCCTGGGTGTCAAACTCCCGCGCGCAGCCCTCCCAGTGACAATTTGTCTCGTAGACCACTTCAGGCTCTTGCTTGTTTTCATCTTTGTCCCCTTCCTCCTTGACGAGGGTCATTCCTTCAGGCTGTTCCTGAAAGGCAGAGGGTGGAGGGGAGGGAGAAGAAAGGAGGCTGGGTTAGACAAAGAAGAAGGTGGAAGAAGGGCTTCGGGCTTCGGGGCTTCGGGGGCAGAGGCTAAGTGGGACGAGGAAAGCCCCACCAAAGATGCAGCCCATTAGTGGTGAAAGAGAAAGCTTAGGCACCCCAAACCAAGGGGCCAGTGAGCACTATTTCCTTGAGTCTTCGGTATGCTTTGATATCCTGTGTGACCCTGGCCAAGTCTGACCCTCTCTGAGCCTCAGATTTCTCATCTGCAAATGTTCTGTGCAAGCAGGGACCGTTTCTTTCTCGTCTTTGTGTCTTTCAAAGATTATTTTTGTTTCATAGATTATCGAGCTAAAAAGGACATCAGAAATTACCTAGTTCAATCTCCTCATTTTACAGAGGAAGAAACTGAGGCACAGAGAAGGGTAGAAGCTTGCTTCTCAAGTCAGGATCTGAACTCTTGGACCCCATTTGCAGTAGCTTTTACCATATGTCCTCCTGACTGCCTTATACACCAAAGGTACTTAATACTTGTAGAATTCTTGAATTCAACAATTTACTGACTTGTCATCAATGGGTTTATATCTGGCAGCTTTTCTACTTTAGCTGATGGCCTTGAGACCCTTGGAAATCTTCCTCTGGTTTTCTCATACTTTTTAAGTAAAGGATCTGATTTCAAATCCTGCCTCAGACATTTACCAGTGGTGTCACCTTGGGCAAGTCATGAGCCTCAGTTTCCTCATGTAAAATGAGGGAATTAGACTCCAAGGTCCTCTTGAATTCTTATTCTATTCTCCTCATACCCTATTTAATAGATTTGCAGCTATTCCAAGAGGTTTCCCACTTGGCGATAGAGAAGCCACAAGGCACTTTAAACACATGGTTCACATTAACATTGCCCTCCCTGGTGGAATTTCAGAGCCCCATGGTCACACTGTCAAAGGTCGAGAGGTTGAAGATGTTTGGGGGGTTGCTAGCATCCCTCACCAGCCTTCCCCCACCATTCCCAGTCACAACCATCTCCATGGAAATGAAGCAAGCTCTCCATACTGGGATGGGGTGGGTCCTTCCTCAGGGAGCCACAGAGGCCACTCTGTCCTGGCTGCCACTCTGAAAACAGGTTCAAAACCTTCTCCTCAAGTCCAAACAAAAATTGATGGAGGTTCACTAGAAAACTGAGTCCAAGCCCAAAAGCCAAGTCTAGGGTGTAGACGGGCCTGGATCACACTTCTGGGGCTGCTTCCACATCAGAATTCTAAGGAAGCAAGCCCAGAGTTAAGCCCAACCTAAAACGCCGGCTGTGTCTTGGCCATTTCCAGTGTGCTGGGTTATACTGATCAGTTGGGTCTAGGGCTAGTATGCTCTGTCTGGACAATGGCAGCAGCCATGTCCTGCTATGGCTAAGGTTAGATCCGGCTTCCCCTATGACTCAGGGGTTTCGGCTGAGGTTGAGAAAAGAGATGAATGCTAACCCACAGCCTCAGTGCAGGTCAGTATGGATGAGGAAGATCACAGCACACTCCCTCATCCACATAGAGTGGGTTCTATTCATTCGTTCAATGGATTCAGATAGTCAGGCCCTATCTCCTCTCCACCTGGTGATCGCTGGTACCTCACTCCATTACTTAGAACTATCTCTTGCTTTTCTTGTTAGTGTCAGGGTTCTGTTCTCATGATACAAAGAAATAGGAATCCAGTGAGTTCGGGTTGCTATTTGGCTCTGGGCAACAAGGGGAGAGATTCCAATTTCTGTGTGTATTCCTGAATATCTGAGTTGGGTGAAAGGAATGCCTGAAAAGAGCTCCAGAGGCTACTCAGCCCGCTCTCTGGGGAGGAAGGGAAAGGCCACGCTGAGAGGAGTTCCAGACACTGTACCTGCAGACTTCCCGCTCCTGGGCTGGGCAGGTCTTCATCGGCTTTGATCTTGGAGCGCTTACTGTGCATGGGATCCCCCGTGCTGCTCACTGCAGACTCACTGGTCGGTTTGTTTTGCTGCTCAGGTTTCCAGTCCAAAAACAAAAATAAAGCCTTGGTCAATATACAATCCTGTAACCAGATGCACAGATCTATGTGAGCAACTTTGCTCAGTTTGGAGGACAACCTTAACTGGAGGAGAGTTCAGGGACCTAGCTTAACAGGCTGAATGAAGCATTCTTGCCCTTGGATCAGAATAAAGGAGAAAAGGATGTTCTATCCTTTCATTCATAGATATAAATAAGCCTCATTAATGTATGGAAATGGCATTTGGACTCCAAGGTTGAACAGCTCTCAGAAAGAACAAGCCCAAATGGGGAAAACGTAGCATTATGAAGAAAACACCCTGACCAGAAGAGATGGGTAAGTTCTTCTCCTTGAGATGCTGCCGTCTTCTTTGCGGGATTAATGGGACTTTAATGTTTGCAAAACAGTTTACAAATATCATCTCATTAGATCCCCACACCAACCCTGAAAGGTAGGTGCTATTATCATCCTTGTTTTACAGAGGCAGAAACTGAGGCAGCCAGACATTAAGTGACTTGTCCAGGGTCACACAGCTAGTGAGTGTCTGAGGCAGGATTTGAACTCCAAGTATAGTGCTCTGTGTGCTGTGGTACCACCTAGCTGCCATGTCTAAGATGGCATCCTGCACCTGGCAAGGAGCCAATGCCTGCCTCTAAGAGGCTGTTCTATTATTTACTCTTGCAACTATGTGGTTTTCTTGAAAGGTCCTCAAGAGACAACAGGGGGTTTAGTTCACTCTCACGCTCTCACCTGTGTGGCCTCCGACAGACCAGAGCTCACTTGAACAGGGTTCAGGACACTAGGGATGCCAGGAATGGGTCTCTGAGTAGGAAAGGTCGGGGCTGGGTGGATAAGTGGAGGACTGTGTCCAAAAGCAGATCCTAAACTTTGTTGCCGACTTAAAATCTGTTGATGCATATGCTGGAAAGAGACTGGGGTGGGAGGGTACGTGAAACTCAGAGCAGGACTGCAGTAGGAGAAAGCAAACAGACAACAAAGATGACAGACCGTTACTTGGGTTGAACCCACAAGGACGTTGTCCACATGTAGTAGCTTCTTCCCTTTCTCTCCCTCATGCCAGGAGTCAATGGCATCAATGGGTCCAAGCTGGCAGTGCCTCTATTAGCAATCTGCTCCAAACGACATCCCCCGTCCATCCTAACATCTCCCAACAGCAAGACCACCACTTGCCAAGACACACACACACACACACACACACACACACACACACACACTTGCACGCATGCTAGTGCTACCCTAAAGAAGTCTCTGCAAAACCAAAATAAAAGGCAAGGAGTTCAATAACAGCTATTTATTGCAATAACAAACTTTATATAAAAAGGGGCCAGGTGACGACATGCTTTATAGGAAGTGCTTTTCCGGGGGTATGGAGCTCTACAGACTCTCATGGATGAAGCAATTCCTTTCATCACGGATCAGGCTACACTCTTTCATACGTCTCTAGATCTTATTACAAGAGGAGAGAAAATCAATTGGCTGAATGTGTTTTGAACACCAAGCTTGTCATATCACTCATTTGTTTAAGACGGAAGGCTCGGTTCATCCAGAATGTCACCTCTAGAATTTCCATCAGGGCCGTCTGCTCCTGAAAGCTGATGGATTGACCTCTCCCCTTGGAAATTGGTGATCAATGGGCTTCGATGCAGAAGCATCCCAATGGGAAAGCACATCTCTAGCTTGCGGTTAAACAGCATTAAGTGTCTATTAACGCCCATTATGCATGCTAATACCTGTCACCACTTCATTATAGCCCCCCTCCCTGCCAGGCTTCCCCAGACTACAGCTGAGTACTGGCAAAATTGCCCTACAGTTTGCTCTGGGTATGGAATGCCAAACTGCTCTTTGTGTTGGACTTCAAAAATGAATTGTTCCGGGCGAAATCCTCTTAGAAAACTATGAAATGCTCACATAGCTTTTTGCCAATGGCTTAAAATTGCATGAAAAAACTACATAATTGCATTCGTGGGTCTCTCTTTCTTATGGTGAGTGAAAATAGCCTTGCAAATTAAAATATTTTTTCTACCCCGAGTGTAATACCTAGCAAGAACCAAGGTTTCTTGTAATGTCAAAGGTAGATTTCATGCAAATTTCAAGTCTGGGACGTTAATTACTATTGCTGTTAAGCACATTAACCGATAATATTACAATTAAAAAAAATCCAACCATTTCAACCATTTTAAATAACCATTCAAAAGGCATTCTCTGTCCATTAATGTGACTGCACATTCTGCCCACTGGACCACAATCCCTAGAAAGACGGCTCCAATGTGATTATATTACTATTATTCAGTGAGAGAGCCCGGCATTACAAAAGGCTACCAATTTAGGCCTGAATATCATTAAGAATACCCTCAGAGAATTTTACTAGTCTTTGAGGATCTCTTTTCATTTTGTATTGTATTTCTTTAATAAAGGGAGGCAGAAATGTGGTGGAAACAGTCCTTGTTCCCAGTAAGAGTTAGGGGGAAATCAGTAATAATATTCCGTTATTGTCGGGCCAGAGTTACTGCCAGTGTTTCTGTAAGCAACCATGAATGATTACCGCGAGACTCAGCGAAGGGAGCCACTATGGATGATTGATAGGACATTAATCAAAAGATGCATATCAGCCTCCGAATTTGTTCCCCAGCTTTCCCTTAATAGCTGATTTCATGTTCACTGAGCACTGTGCCAGTTTGTCCAATTTATTCTTCAGTGTACGAGCCATTCATCAAAGAACACAATGATTTAACACCCCCTGTCCTTTCAGTGAGCGAGCATTACTAAGTGTAACTACCTTATTCTGTTCATTAAAAAACAAACAAACAAAAAAGTAAACACCAGGCTGGCACCCTCCCACCCCCACCCCAAGCAATTACAATGTCACCCATATGAACGAATGGGGATGGAACGGGGCCAGATGGGCCTCCATGCCTTCGGTAAGGGAAGGGACATTGAGAGTGGGGATGCTTCTCATTCTGGGAGGTAGAATGAACCGATCAGCAATTTGGGGGCCAGATTTCAGCGCCCAATAAAATGGGATTGAGGAATAGTATGTACATGGAGAAAATGTGCTATCTGTTACATTCAACTGTAAAATAAAGTAGCATTATGACTTGCATAGAGAAGATGCCGACGGAGGTGACCAGGAGATGGGGGAGGGAGGGAGGGAAGGAGGAAGGAAGAGAGAGAGGAGAGGAGGGAAGAGGAGAGGAGGGGAGGGGAGGGGAGGGGAATAGAAGAGAAGAGAAGAGAAGGGAAGGGAAGGGAAGAGGAGGGAAGAGGGGAGAGGAGAGGAGAGGAGAGGAGAAGAGAGGAGAAGAGAAGAGAAGAGAAGAGGAGTTATTTTCTGTTATATCAGAAATGCCCCTCTCAGTATTTTTTTTTCAAACTAGTGGTCCTCCCTGTCCTTCAAGGGTACATTTCCAGTGTAAGAATGGTAAGAAATTTTGGATTAAAAAAAAGAAACATTTTAAACTTTGGAATCTTTTCATCATCATGAGTATTTGGATCTCTGTGAGAGCAGGAAGTCGAGTTTCATAGTGTGGTAGTTCCTTTGTCCATCACACTTGGAAAGCTTACTCATAAGGAAGAAATGTGTGCAAGGAGCAGAAGTATCATTAACTTTCATTGTTCTAGGAGTCAAGAGGTCTGGCTTCCAGTCCCAGCTCAGCAAAACATTGAATTCAAATCTTCATCTCTTTTTCTTCAAGCTATTGTAAGAGCCTGCTGATAGGTCCTCCTGCCCCTCCTCTATCCCTGATTAAGTCCATCCTCCACACAACTGCCTAAGATATCTTCCCAATGCACTGTTTTCATCATACCCGGCTTTACTCAAAAACCTTGAGTGGCTTCTGATTGCCTAAGGAATAAAACATAAACTGTAAATCCTGGCATTCAAGGCCCTTTACTTTATTGTGTTTTGCAGATATTATATTTTTTTTACAAATTCAAAATTTAAACCTAATTTAAATTTTACATTTTTTTTCACAAATTGTGGCTACCTTATATCAAACAATTCTCTCTCAGTGCCATTTTTCCAACAGCATGCGCTCACCTCATGATCTGTGTCACATTTTGGTAACTCTTGCAATATTTTAAACATTTTCATTACATTATAAAAGTTATGGTGATCTGTGATCAGTGATCTTGGATGTTACTATCATAATTGTTTTGGGGCACCACAAGTTACACACATATAAGATGGTGAACTTAATCCATTAACGCTGCGTGTGTGTTCTGACTGCTCCACTGGCCATCCCATTCTTTCCCTCTCCTCCAGCCTTCCTATTCCTTGAGACTCGACAATACTGAAATCAGGCCAATTAATAGCCCTACAATGGCCTCTGTGTGTTCAAGTGGAAGGCAGAGTCAATCCATGAGGCAAACTTCACTGTTACCTTATTTTAATAAAATGCCACAGCCGCCCCAGCCTTCAGCAGGCACCCCCTGATTAGTCAGCAGCCATCAACATCCAGGCAAGACCCTCCACCAGCAAAAAGATGATGACTCACTGGAGGCTCAGATGATGGTTAGCAATTTTTTTTTAACAATAAAGCATTTTTTTAAAATTACAGTATGTACATTGCTTTTTTTAGACATAATACTACTGCACACTTAATAGACTACAGTAGAGCATAAACATAACTTTTATATGCACTAGGAAACAAAAAGAAAATCCATGTGACCTGTTTTATGGTCTGGAACCAAATCCACACTATCTCCGAAGTGCACTTGTGGTCTCCTCCAAGGAGCTCAGCCTGCCTCCAGCCTCTCCCTTCTGTAATGGAACTTGTTGCTACATAATAATGAAGGTGGGGAAGTTGAACCATAGAGAGCAGGAGGGCAGCAGGTGCTGCCAAGTGCTCTGAGGGGCACACCACCCTCACCAGTGGTACTCCAGAGCCAGGGCTTCCCTGCCGCCTTCTCTACCACTGCCAATCACACTGCCATGGTGGGACAGAGTGAGCCTGGTGGGAACTGACCACAGAGAGTCAGGTTCTCCCACTGGAGTCCGGTGTTCCTGGGGGCCTCTCCTGGTGCCTGGGGTGGTGTGCTCTTGTGTTCCAGGGCTCACAGCTGAGTTTGCCCAATGGCTTAAGCACAGGGAAAAGCTAAGCCATGTGGTGATGGTAATGAGTCAGTCAATAAACATTAAGTTCCTACTAGGTGCTAAGTGCTGGGGACATAAATACTAGTTAGGAAAAAAAAGTCCCTGTCCAAAAGGCTGCAATCGAAAGTGCATCCATGTGGTAGCGTATATTGGGAGGCATTTGGGGGGCTCCCGCAGATGGAGTAGTGGGACCCAGGCACCTACACAGCCCTTTCAATCCTAGTTCGATAAGGTCACTCTCTTGCCCCAAACCCTTCACTGACTCCCCATTGCCTCCCCAATCAAATACAAGTTTTTGAAATGGATTTTCTACATTCTCCACCATTGGCCTGGCTCCCGCTTTTCTAACCTCATTCCTCAGAGATGCCTCAGCCCATCTAAACTGGATTACACCCATTTTCTAGCCAGACCCTGCCCTCTTCTACATCCACACATCTGCCTACACTGGTTCACATGAACTCCTGCCACTCCTGCCCCTGGCTCAGCCTGATCAAATGGGTCTTTTTTTCTTTCTTTCTTTCTTTTTTTTGCAAATTCCAAGTCACCTCCTTCCTTGAAGCCTCTCCTGACTCCCTCCAGCCAGATGCAATTAATCCCTGCTGCTCAAGGCCCCTGTTACCTTAGTCTGGACATTTGGATGCCTACACGGCCACCCCACCATCATTTTCAATGGTTTTCCAAGTAGTAGACTACATCCTCCTTGTGGCCAAGAAATGTGTCCTTTTGTCTTTAACTTTCCCAAAGTCATTTTATGCATGTGCATCAAATAAATGTCTGTTCAGTTGAAATAGTAGCTGTAGTATTCACTTGCCTCTGACGGAATGTAAGCTGCCTGAAGGGACTGGCTCATTTTG